CGCGGCCGCCCGGCAACACCCCCTCCCGGTCTGGGGCGGCGCAGGGTGCGGAGGCCTGGGGCCGGCTCGAAGCCGGTAGCGCTCGGGCAGCTCGGCTCTTAAACAGAGCCAAAGAGTCAGGGGAGGAGCAGAGCCGCTGCGGCAGGGGAAGTGCCCGGCCGGCATTTTCCCGGACATGTTCGGCTTTTTGGCAATTCCCCCCCGGACGGGGGTTTGAGTGCCGAAAAGCCGGACATGTTCGGGAAAAAAACGGACGTATGGTAACCCTACTCAGATAGCCAGCTCCCAATGGGGTCCAAATGTCAAATAAATCCGTTTTACTCTGTATAAAGCTTATACAGGGTAAACTCCTAAATTGTTCGCCCTCTATAACACTGATAGAGAGAGGTGCACAGTTGTTTGCTACCCCAGGTATTAATACATATTCTGGGATTTCTCATGACTGCAGCCCCTTTTGCTTTATTCCCCCCCTTATATATCTTTTGCACAAAGCGGGAATCCTTTGTCCCTCTTTGGGTTCCCACCCCCTCCTTCGAAATGGAAAAGCACCAGGTTAAAGATGGATTCCAGGTCAGGTGACATGATCACATGTCACTGTAAGACTTTATTACCCACTTGCCAGCACACAGGTATACAGGAAGACTTACAAGTAAACAGAGCCATCTACAGTCAATTGTCCTGGTTAATGGGAGCCATCAAATTCCAAACCACCATTAATGGCCCACACTTTGCATAATTACAATAGGACTTCAGAGTAATACTTCATATTTCTAGTTTCAGATACAAGAATTAGGGTTACCATACGTCTGGTTTTTCCCGGACATGTCCGGCTTTTCGGTAATCAAACCCTCATCCGGGGGGAATTGACAAAAAGCCGAACATGTCCGGGAAAATGCCGGCCGGGCACTTCCCCTCCCACGGCGGCTCTGCTCCTCCCTGACTCTTCGGCTCTGTTTAAGAGCCGAGCTGCCCAAGCGCTATGGGCTTCAGGCAGCCCCCTTGCCTCCGGACCCCAGCCGCCAGCCGGGCACTTCCCCTCCCGGGCTCCGGCGGCGCAGGATCCGGAGGCATGGGGGCTGCCCGAAGCCGGTA